TAACATTCACTCAGTCACCCCCAAGAGGTCTTAATGGGTTTCCCAGGCACCAGCTGTAGCATAATTTGTCTTCTTGGCAGTTGAAACTGCCAAAGAGTTCTCCCCAGGCCTTCTTTTGTGTTCCAAAGTACAGGTAACCCCCACAGCCTTTTTGGCAAGAATTCAGCTGTAACTGGTGCATAAATTACAAACAAATGTGTGAAAAGGAAAGAATTCCCTGATAGAAAAAAATACAAGAAATTTAAATGGCCACCTTAAAAAGCTATCGGTAACACTTGTTCCTTTTGTTAAGTATCTGGCACAATATAGTGAAGAAAAAATATAAGGCTTAATTTTTAATACTGCTGGCATATGGGAGAAGATTAAAAAAGAAATATACTGAAATTATCAGTTAGGTGTGTTTCTGATTTTGGCAATTAATGTCTCCACTACTTGAAGTGACAGTAGAAATTTCATTCACCCATTAGCACATACACACACAATTAACATTCATACCTGAAGCCAAATCATACCCCCCATCACCACCACCCAGCAAAACTATATATTAGCTGTTTCTACCAACAGTAAAGTTGATATATCTGACCACAGCTTCATAAAAGAGTTCTCCCTGTCTATTCATTGGGGTTTATTTAGTCTGAACTCTACTGAACAAATCATCTGGAAAATGTAAATAAGTTGATCACTGTCTTATCAATAATTTCTGTGAAAGTGAATAGTTAGTTCTCCACATCTGTGAAAAAAATGGTTCCATGAGTACCCTCCCACCAAAGTCAGACACCAAAATCTATAAATGCTCAAGCTTATAAAAATGGTGCAATATCTGCCTATAATCTGTGTGCACACTCTAGTATACCTTAAATCATTTCTATATTATTCAAATTACCTACTACAATATATATATCATGTAAACAGGTGTTAAACTATATTGTTTAGGGAATGACAAGAGAAGAATTATGTACAGCACAGTTAGTCCCCTCCCCCCAAATATTTTTAATTCCTTAGTTGGCTGAATCCACAGATGTGGGAACCACAGATATAGTGAACTGACTGTACTTAAAAATTTAATTTCATAGGGGAGTAAAAAATTTGTACATGAGACAGAACTGTTTACAGTATAAGAAACTTTTTATAATTGAAGGAATACAAATCCCTATAAAATAACTGCATTTTAAGAGGTTTATGAAAATCTCATTTATTTGAAAATACTTTGCTTAAACTACTCCACATTTTTATACCGTTAATGTATTTGTCCTGTTTAATGTTAAAGCTGCTGACATTCGATCTTTTTAGGAGACACACAGATGCCGACAGTGAAGCCTCTCAGTGTAACAGCCCCAGGTGGCTCTGCTGCTCCAGAACTGAGGACAATGATTCTCCACTGAACAGCCACTAACCAAGTGAACTGCGCTGTAACTTTAGAGACAAAGAAATTATGAGTAAAAATACCAGAACAGGATTAGAAAGGACAACTTGTTGCTGGGAAACAGAACTAAAGTTATTTAACGGTATCTCATGACACTGAGAGGTAGGTGCTAACTGATGTGCCGTTATATAATATGTGGTTTACCTGTGGAATATTTTTTTTTAAAAGCAGCCTTTGAATATTTAAATATTTCAGGATTTTCTTCACTAAAAGTATCCTGTAAATAAAACTTCAGGGGAAAATTGTTTGTTAGTATAGCCATTGGGGAAAACAGTTCGGAAGTTCCTCAAAAAAGTTGCCATACGACCCAGCATTTCCACTACTAGGTGTGTGGCCATAATAAATGAAATCAATATACCGGGAAACAGCTGCACTCGAATGTTTAAGGCAGCACCATTCCCAACAGCTAAAGAAAATGTGGTACAGAAACCTACAGTGGAATGTTATTCAATCACAAATGAAATTCTTTAATTTGCAGCAACATGGGTGGAACAGGAGGCTATGAAGTGGAGTATACAAGGCACAGCAAGACACTGAATGTTCTCACGTGTATGCAGAAGCTAAAAAGTTAAAAAGAATAGTGCTTCCCAGAGCCTGGGAAGGGTAAAGTAAGAAGGGATGGGAGGAACGCTTCAAATGATCTGTAGCACAGGAGAGTAATTATGACAGCAAATAGTTACTTCAAAATGGCCTTGAGAGGATTTTAAATGTTTCCAATACAAAGAAATGACAAATGCTAAATGTCTGAGGTGACAAGTATGTGTATACATACACACAATATCCTACAAATATGTATGATTACTATGTATCAATTAAAGAATACATTTAAAAATATTTCCACTAGCAAGCAAATATTACATCTCTTTCTACTGCAGGACTTCAGATAGAGTCAAGCTGAGGATGTGTTTTCACCACATGGTTTTATCGTCACATGGGGAAACTAGAGGATGTCTTAGATTGCAGAAAATCCTTTACACTGCCCGCCCTTAGAGAATTAAAGATTAAAAACCGATGTGCAGCAGCCTTAATGACCAAGGTTACCTAAGCAGCATTTTGCTGTACCAATAATAAATATCTGGAAGCTAATGACCACCACTTTTGAGTATATCTTGTGATTGGAGAGGCCAAAGTTAACTTGTATTAATCTTATGTCTCAATATATTTAGTATTACAATATACAATTTTTTTTCTTTTCATGACGTGTGCATAGATTTTTGGGGGTAGAATCTCTGTGTACGTAACATATATTGTAACATACATGTGTAATAAACTTGTTCTTCCTTCTTCATGAAGCTTTGCCCATACATGTTAACTGACTTGGTTCCTCACTCTACTTTAACTCTAAAAATCTCTTAGGAAAACCAGTTTTTTTCCTAGCTGAGTCTTCAGAGTTAAAAAAACAAAAAAAGTAAAAACACAATAAAATATTATTCAAAAATAGTTCCTACAAAAAGCCTTTTGTCAAACTCCCAAGCACCTTATCCCTTGTCACATTCACCTTACCACCATTAATGGAAAAAATTAATTCTGCCCTTGTCTACTTCTCCGCTAGGAACCCCTAGGCCCAGGATGCTTGAAGAACAGAGGTAAAAGAAGCAAAGCAAGACTGCTCCCTCATTCTTCCCCACCAGTTTCTCATCTCCGTATTCTCGGGGTCACTCAGCTTCTCTTCCATGTATTTATGGTTTTCCATCCTCCACTGTAAACAGCCCAAATATTGAATCTCTTCTTTTCCATCACCCAAAATCAGTTGTAACCTCTAGGAGTTATCATTATCTCCTTGTAAAAAGGCCTGAAACTTCTAGCCTCAATAACTGAGTATTTGGACCTCTGTGAGCTTTACCTCTCAATTCTACCTCAAATAGTAGTTTTACTTCTAAGATTAATAGCTTCCCACCTGTTCTAAAATTGCTTCAAGTTCTTAGAAATGTTGCTTCACCAATTACTACCCATCCCCAATGTCATTTCCTCTCTATTGTCTTTCTGTCCTCAATAAATCTGTAATATCTTTAAAAATAAAAATTTTTAAGAGGCTAGGGATGTGGCTAAGTGGCAAGCACTTCTGTAGGCCCAGAGTTTGACTCCCAGAACCAAAAATAAAAAATAAAAACAAAAACTACAAATTAAAACTGGCCTTCAATTTATCATACTCTTCTAGACAATACCAATCTTCCCCACTCCAGTTTTTAAAGACTGGCTGTATTTGCCCCTGAAACATTCCACAATTTTTCTCAAAACAATAGAGTTTGATTTTCAATCCCAATACTCCACTAAAATAGCTTCTGAAGATGTTTTGATCACTTCTCAGCCTTTGGTTTATCTGACCTCTCTGCAGCAGCTGACAACATGAATCACTTGTTATGCTGCAACGCTGGAGTTCCCAGATGGAACTATGTTAGGCTTTCTTCTCATTTTAAAATCTCCTTCTATTGATTAACTCTCACTCATAACCCCAAAAGTCCCAAATTCTTTTTGCCAATCAAAACTTACATGAGTACTAAACCTACATTCAGATATCTGCATGTATATATTCATATGCCATGTACATCCCAAACACAACATGCAAAACCTACATTTACAATCTTTCTTCCAGATCTGCTTCCTATATCCTGATTAATCAGAATCTGGGAGATATGCAGAAACCTCATTATATTTACATATTACTGCAAGATGAAAAATGCACACCCTCACTTTTCCCATTGTTGAAATAAAGATAATCATGCCAGTACTTAGTCTACCAAGAATTTGGTAAAAGATGTGAAATGATATTCAAATGGTTGATTAATCTCTGGAAGAATTTCAAATCTTTTCTTGGCGGCTGAAGGAAGAAAAAGGTCCTGCTTTAAACTCTGCATGAGGTCTTAAGGACTGTATCTTTCAACCTTGAAAACTCCCAGTTATCTGGAAGTTACAATCCCCATTGTACTACAGTTGGCAATATGCTGCAGAGTTTAAGTTCGTTTTTACAGGCATCTGTTTAATGACTACAAAGAGCTTAGGACAAAGCTTCTTAAACTATAATCATTCTAGGCATGTTTCTATAAAAACAGAATTGATTTTAAATATATGAGAATCTACTTGTTAGGTTTAGGACAGAATGGGAGAAATAAAGGTTTAGAAAATCTGTTATCTCAGCAAATATATTATCCAATTGGGACAGTCTAACTTCATACAAATAGTATGATGTAAGAGCTGTAAGTGCAATGTATGATATTACACAAAATTTCCCAATTTAAAATAATAAAGAACGCCAAGAGTTTAGCTCAGTGGCACAAGCACCTGCCTGGCAAGTAAGAGGTTGTGAATTTGATCCCTGGTATCAAAAATAAATGAACAGACTCGCAGGATTTCTTGAGAATAAAGAAATAAATTATAAGTAATTCAAAAGAAAAAACAATTTTATATTGTCAATTTTACTTTTCAAAGAAAATGTTGCAAAAAGCAAGACTTGGTATTTTTTTTTTTTAATCGGTACCAGGGATCGAATTCACGACTGCCTGCTTGCAAGGCAGGTACTTATGCCGCTGAGCTAAATCCCCAGCCCCAAGACTTGGCATTTTATAATACATTTAATTACCTTTAGTTGGGACTGATTTTTTCACCGAGGCCACATGATCTTCAGAGATAGCAAGACGCCTCAAAACATCTGCCAAAGCTGCCTTTAGCACAGTGATTTCATCTTCTTGCTGTTGAACTCGTAACTCAAGAGCTGATAGGCGATCTTGAACATCAGAAGTACTTGCAGCAGAAATGCTATCATCTGAAAAATAAGGCAAAATATTTTAAAAATAAATTTTTTGAGAAAGAAACTTTTTTTGGTAACAAAAATTATACCAGATAAGCCTCTTAAAATATGACAAAAATTAAAACAACTCCATGTTCACACTGATTAACATCTATAAAGATTTTCATAAATACTGTAACTAATTTAAAATAAGTTTTAAATTTGTCAAATAATTTAAAACAACAAAAAATTCTTCTGATGGTCTATTTACCCTTTTTTATACCATTGGCTTAATTGATTTTCTCATCTAAATGATGCCTAAATATATGATATTGTAAATATATCTGACACTTGTAAGAGAACAAGCTATCCTTCTTAATTATCAAATAATGATCATACTTCTCTATGAAACCAAAAAAGGTAATCTTTCTTATTCTGCTTTCTGTATCAGAGAACCATCACATGCTTTCTTCAGCACTGATTGGAAAATGCTGTTTAGTTTTGTCCCTACAACCCTCAAATTAGTTTTCTGAGACAGGGTCTCGCTGTGTAGTCTAGGCTGATCTTGAACTTACTGTGTACTCCAGTTTGGGCTTGAATTTGTGGCAATCTTCTTGCCTCAGCCTCCCAAGTGCTGGGATTACAGGCATGTACCACTGTGCCCGGTTAGAAAGCAACTCTTAACTTCCATTTGTTTGTTTCTTTGAGATGGTCTTGCACGTAGCCTGTGAAATGGCCTCAAACTTACCACAATCCTTCTGCTTCAGCCTATGGAGTGCTGAGATTAGAACTATATGCCACCATGCCTGACTTCTTGATTTATGTCATTATTATTAAACTCTCCCAATCCCCACAAATGGCAATACTGCTATATAGTAAGCAAAAAGATTTGCTGCTACTTTTCTCCCTTTAATATCCTAATCTCTCTTTTTAAAAACAAAAAAATAAAAGGTAGTGGTTCTATTAAAGCACATACCTAATACAGAGTACATTATTTGCTGAGTCAATTAGAATCTCAGATGAACAGAAAGATTACTGCTATTGGTTATTTACTACAAGCAGAAAAATTCAGGGGAAATAACTAAGAAGCAGCATTAGATTGTACTGAGGAAATGCTAGATAATCTAATGTAGAAGTTGTTTGGACTAGAGTAGACGGTTTACATCGGCTCAGTCATTCAGACACTATGGCATAGTATGCCATTTTTCCCATACTGAAATAGTATGCCATGGATCTTCTACACAATTTAATTCTAAGTTTGAATTAACAAAACAACACAACCTCAGCGTTTAAAAAAAAAAAACCCTATCATTATTACATTATGGAACAATAAGTGATGATACTGAATGTATTCCAACAAATCTCCCAGGAATCCACACATACACTCTTCTGTCTTCAGTGGTACTTCAGTGACAATCATTGGGAAGTGCTGATATTCAAAGAAACGCTTTTTTTTTTTTAAAAAATTCAGACTGCAAATTTTGGTTCCATATTAGTTACATAATCTTAAATACTATTTATTTTAGCTTCTGTGCCTGAATTTCTTCATCTTTAAGCAGGACTGATGTTGTTTGTTGCTGCTGTTGTTGTTGAGACAGGACCTTGCTATGTAGTAGCGTCAGACTGGTCTTAAACTTCTGGCAATCTTCCTGCCTCAGCCTTCGAAATGCTGTGATTACTCGTGTGCTCTATCAACTATGCTCAGTAAATGTAATCACTTTTGATGATTCAGTTTCTGTTTTAGTGTATTAATTACTGTACTGTTAAGAACTCTAATAAAATAATGTCCCAGAGGCTATAATTCTAATTGGATAACTAAATATTGGAATACAATCCTCCTTTATACCTTTTCTGTTTATAGTTTTACAGTTAGGATTCACGACTTTTTAGGGCAGTTGTGGCAAACCTTTTAAAGCCTGATTAGACAAACAGCCCAGTGTGGCATGGATGCTGTAGGTATGCCACCACTGTTCTAAGGTTGTGCTTTCTTCTAATTTAACTGGATTAAATTAGTTGTTTAATTAGTTAATTAAATTAACTAAACTTTCTAAATTGTTTATATGAAGAAAAAATGGTCTTTGAAATGGGGAACTCTATTTAAAATACTATATGTATAACACATATACACACATAATTTTGTATTTTTATATATGCACACATATACACAAATATGTATATATGAGTTGTACAATTAAAGGACATCAACGTTTTTGGTAGTAAAGGACATAATTTTAAAATTGAAAAAAAAGAAAGGAAGGAAGTAACATTACTGGTACCCAACTACTGCCAAGCTCTATGATCATTTAAGTCTTAAAGTATGATTTGCCCAGAACTTTTTTTTTCTTTTTTCTCAGTACTGGGGATCGAACTCGCAACTGCCTGCTTGCAAGGCAGGCGCTTATGCCGCTGAGCTAAATCCCCAGCCCCCAGAACTTTTTTTTTTTTTTGGCTCATATGCACAGATTTTAGATAGGTACCACTGCCCCACTGTTACTGGATAAATAGGATATTAAAATATATAGGGCAGGGTTTTTCTCATTATGGTTAAGAGTCAGAATATACCTGGCTCACAGCCCATCTCTTTCCCTCAGTGCAATTAAATATTCTAGGAGGAGTACATAAAACAATTATTTGCAGTCTCTGAAGACTAAATATGAACAGATGAGCTGAAAGGGGAAATCAAACTTTGAAGGATCCATATAGTAGTGGGTCCCTGGCCTCCATATCATACAGCTTAAACGAAATAGCTAATGAAATCCTCCAACTGCATACCAAAAAGCTCCCAATAAAACCCTTTTCTTTTCGGTCAGAAGACTCGAAGGAAAGCTCTTTTGATTCTCTAAACCACACAAGTGCCAGTTAGGAAGCTATAATACATGGCAGAAATGGTGCTCAGGGCCAGAAGGGCAAGGGCTCCCTTGTATATTCTTTTTCTCTCACTGCTTCACATCGACGTGGATAGCAATACAGCAAAGAGGCAGCTTCAGCAAGAGCACATGGGAAGGGATCCATGAGAGCCTCAGCATGCACATTACAGAGGAGGGGAGATAAAGAAGGGAAGCCACAAAGCCTAAGGTCTATGCTCTAAACTGCAGATACACAACAACACCTGGAATCAATGCAGCAGTGGCTTTGAGAGCTAAATGGATGCAGAAGAGCGCCCAGGTCCCAGGCTGGCCCATGAATAGTTCACATGCAAGGCTGACAAGAATAGCCTTGGAAAATCTTTTAAAATTAAACTGTCATTGGAGCCTGGAGTACACAGGTCAGGAATTGTGGTCTGAATAGAACTGACTGCCTGAGAAAAACAGTATCATCAACATTCTCCAAAAGATTTTAATATGGCCAAAGTCTCACAATATACAAAATGTTCAGAAGATAATTCAAAATTAACTGATACTGAAAGAAGCAGAAAAACCTAAAATAACATCAATGGAAAAAACATCAAACAACAAGCATGGAATGACAGTGGGATTAGCAAAAATTACTTTAAAGCAACTACCTTAATCATGCTCCATGAAACAAGGAAATAGTGGAAATCTCAGGAAAAAAAAAATGAAATAAGTAGAAATGTGAACAAAAAATTATTTTAAAAAGAGAGAAATTCTGGAATGAAAAAATAAATTCTGAAAACCACAGAGGGGTACTGGAACAGAAATGAACAGTGAATGTGGAGATAGATGGATGAAATTAGCCAGTCAGCTTAAAAAATCAGTTTAAATAAGGTATATGTTAAAACTCCTATCTTCATGACATATAAAAACAAAATCCAAATACAGATTGCAGAACTTAAGGCAAAATTATGAAAATTTTAGAACAGAAAACATATACATCTCTTATAAATAAGGAGCTCCTAAACACCATATAAAAAACAATCACTTAAAAAAGAATTAAACACATATGGTATGATGTATGTATATCCATGTCTATAGCAGCACAATTTATAAGAGCTAAATCTTGAGTTTATATAGCCATCAACAGATGAATGAGTACAGAAAATATGGTATTTATACACAACAAAGTATTACTCTGCCTTAAAGATAAGCTTGAATCATCTTAGAAAAATAGATGCAGCTTGAACATCATCACATGGCTTCCCTTACATGAAAAGTTAACATATAAATAAAATACAAATACAAACTAAAAGACAATAGGAAAACAGAGAAAAAGTTACTGTATTGTAATTATGTTTCTGTTGTTGGTTTCTGGTTTCAAATATAATATGTGAGCTATTCTACCTCCAGTTTGAAGCTGTCCAGTACAACATAGTTCCAGACCAGCCTCAACTACATAGCAAGAGCCCATCTCAAAAAACAAAATTAAACTAAACTAAAATAAAAAGCATATATTATATAGGCAGCTAAATTAGATAGGAATTAATATATATACAGTCAGAGAGGGACCAAGATCTCCAGGAAGTCAGTGAAAAAGCAGACATCAGAATTGTGGCTGGAGGTGCATCTGAAGGTCAGACCTCAAGGTAAAAATGCAATGTCCAGGCCCACACGCCTCCCTCAAGGATAAGCAGTAACTTGGAATTGTACTGTAATTAGCACCAGCTGGCTCAGAAAGTCCAGCTAGGCATCAAGTCACCCAGGTGGGTGACCGGAGTATCTGGACCCCTCCTTTCCCAAAAATGTCTTTGTTTTTTCCATGTGCCTTTGCTGTATGACCCATTTCCCTACTGAATCAATATTAGCTAAGCAGCTGTACAGTACTTGTAATCCTATCGGTTGAGTGTAATTTGACCCACATTGTACCCACACTGTGACTTTGCTGGATAAATTACTCCTGACAAAGGGCCTCAGTGACAACCAATTTTCAGGACCCTTCCTGTCGTTCAGGAGCTATCTCTCAATAAATCTTTCCTACTCTTAACATCCTTCGTCCCTTGGATTGCATTCTGATTTCAGAGGACATGAACTTGGCACATCTGACATTTAATTTTAATTCTCCTGTACCAATATGATTCATAAGAATATTTAAAATTATCTCTGATCTCTCCTTATAAAATACTAGATGGGACACTGGGAAAC